GAGTTGGGGTTGGAAGCTTAAAATATGCAACAATGGAGTTTTTAAGTGATTCTGAGTTTGAAAGTGTTTGAGGGCTTGTTCCTTCATGCTTTGGCTTTCAAATGGACCTTATATTTATAGGGAAAAGGTTTGAGGGAAAGGGTTGATCAGATATTCAACTTATGGGGTTATGGCTTGGTTGGATTATAAATGAAGGTACATGGCCATTCCATAGTTCCAATGTGAGCATGGCCTGATTTTAGAGGTGCTTTGCAGGTTGTAGATGGTTGCTTCTTACTTTGACATTGTGTGTGTGCAGAAGAAACAATTGAGAGGCTCAAGGAGAGTGGACTTTGCATAAAGCATGCTTTTCTAAAATAGAAATGTTAACTTTTTTCCCTTAATGGCAAAATGTATTGGATAAAGCCTTAAACACTTGGATCATGGCTCAAGAGTGTGTGTAATATTCTGATTATGGATAAATTTGGAGGTTAGAGGACGACAAAGTGAGATTGTGCAGCATGGCTATGAGATTTGGCCATAAGGTTTTCACAAGAATGACCTAAAATTCAAGTTTGTCATGCCATCTTCATCTCTTCGAAACTTCTAGCTCAAGTATGATAAATTTTTGTTCTTGGACATTTTGGAAAGCTTGAAATATTGTCTACAAATTTCATGTTGACCACTTTGGCTAAATCAAATGGGAACTTGGTGTAAATTGGCCAAGAAGTTGGGATAACAAACTGATCAAAACCTGTTGAAAAGTTTTCTAAGTGTTGGATAAAAAACATCATAACTTCATGGGCTTATATCTCTTAAATTAAACACTTTTGAGGATCATCCCATATTAACAAAGTTGAAGAATTCATCAATCCCTACAACTTTCATGTTGAAAGTTTTCCTTGAATCAACTTGTATCTTGAGGAAACTTGCTTGTGAAGTTAAGGTTTTTTAGGTTCAAAACACTTGAATTTTTCTATGTGTTTAAAAATCTTTAATTTTGACTTTTGTTGACTTTTTGATTCTTGATGATCAAGTTTGATAGTTTTTAATGTTTTGATAATTCTTGATTTTTGAATTCCAATATTGACCAAAAAGTCAAAGTTTGACTTTTGAGTGACTGTTGACTTTTCATCAATTGATTCAAATTTTCAACTATCAATAAATTGCATCTTTGGAAATGTATTGAGCCATGTAATTAGGTCAAGATGTTGTATTTGAGTCCTTAAGATCATTCTTCAATCTATTAGGTCATGCACTAGGTCAACAATCAATGATCAATCATCTTCAGTCAAAACCCTAATTTTGGCAATTTTTTACCTTTGATGATTTGAGGACTTTCCTTGAGAAATCATAATCAACCCTTGATCAAATGATGAATATCACCTCAAAATGTTGATGTTGACAAAAAACTTGAAGTTTGACTGTATGTTGATCATAGTTGACTTTTTACTCAATATAGTTGATTTTCAATCATCTGAGCCATTGGATGAGAAAACATGTGATGGAAGACTTGAAACTTGACATAAGCATTATTTAGGAACTATGGTGAACCATGAAAGTCACTTGAGACCCTTGAAACCCAAACATCCTTAAGAAAAACCAAACCCTAGTTGAAGACCATTGCTTAGGAGGAGGCTTTGACCAGTCAACTCTTGAGAATCCTTGAGTATTTGAGAATCTTAGAAGAATGTCTTGAAGAAAATGGGAGGGAAATTTTGGGGTACAACAGGGTCTTTATCCTCCTTCTCTGATACCCCCAAATACAGTAAACAATTGCAGCCTCACCGGATTAACTTCCGGGAGGTTATCCAAATATGTTTTATAGGAACAACTAGTAAACCTCCTTTTTTCTTGAACTCTCAGAACTTATTAACCTTAATCAACTACTATTTCCACTCTTCGATTAAATTCTAATCTCTTTCGCACTTAATTTCTCTAACAAACTACTCTGAACTACTTGGTCACAGATCCTTCCAGAGCCCGTGACTTCCCTTTCTTGCACTAAGTTAACCAAAACCATAACCATAACACTTTATTCTGATTGGATAGCCAAAACTCTCAAAACTTCATGAGATAACTTGCTGATTTCTTGATTACACGCAATATTAATGACACTTCACTTATAATCCTTCAACAATTTCGAAAAACTTTATAATCCACATATTGATATCCTTGTCAACTTAACTTGACCTGATACTACGTACTACTTGCGCACACACCTGATTCCTCACTACATCCTCACTACCCCAAGATATCATGCACTTGGTACAAGATTGCCTTACTTCATTCTTACGAGCAGTTATCTTCTTGATCCTTCATGAAACTATACTGAGCTCTTCCGTTTATCACTCTCTACTTACTAGCTTATGGCCTATTCTAGGAGTTTCACATTTTCCTCTGAATACTTACTATCCCAAAAAAGTACCAGAACTTTACCAAACTTCCATATGTAAAATAACTTCTTATCGACACAAGGGTGGAGAATATAACCAACACCTATTAAAGATAGATAAACATGAGTCACTCAACTACGACCATAAGAACGCATAACCTTTAGAAATATCATGTACTAGTTGCGCCTAATCTACTTAGTCTGAAAATACTCGGTTCTTGCTACTATATTCCATATAAATACTATATAGGGTTCTGACCCACTCTTTGCTTCTTATGATATGGGATCTCTACTAACTTTCAAAATAATACCATTAGGGAACTTAGAGTCATTGTTGAGACAACGCTCCCAAGGAACTTTAACCAGTCTATAATGCAATTGTGAGTTTTCCAATACTACTCACAGAGTCATACAACTTTGTTACCCATCTGGAATAACATAGAAATTCCTAACCAATATCATTCATCTCGATCATCTTATTTCAACTAATGGAAATTAATTCTAGCTCACGTCCTTACACATATACAATCTGAATTACACGCTTAACTTCCGAAATTTCTCATTCCCAATCTTTTTAAGAATGACAACTCATAGATCCTTTTGATATGGTAAGGTAGAATTGTATACATTATGTACCACTTTCATGGGGATATACATTTGAGAAAACTATCCAATTTCATACCATGACTAACCAAATGACCTTACCAACACATCATAATGACATCAAATCGATCTCCTTGAGGTCACTACTCAGTAAGCCTCATCTAACTTCACACCTTATGGTTCTCATTAGTCATAATAGTGATACACCCAAGACTTACTCACGTTGAATATGGTTCACTAGGCTGGCTCCTCAAACATCAAACTTCTACGACATCTCTAAAGATAATCAACTATGCAATACACCTTCAGAATTCCAATTTCAAAACTCAATCTTACTTGCATTAACTTTCAACTCTATTTTCAAACTCACTCATTCATAATGATATACCAAAAGAGATTCGAGACACACTTAGTTCCAACAAGGTGTGAACATCAGACTCCTTAATCAATCAATCCAAAGATTACTTAGGAAAATAAACAACAACCTGACTTTGAATAAGCCATTCCTACTCTTGTCAACCAATGATACGCACTCAAGATAAACCTGGACATTCCCACACACTTATTGACGTGGATTCTCTTCCGAACCAAACATTCACTACATGCTTCATTACACGGAGGTTACTGGTCTAGATGACTTACAACTGACAACCTTGTCGCCTTCTTATGAATTCTTGTGATGTAATCGGTTTCACATTCCACACTTAGTTCTCCACTTAAGCTTGGCTCAGTCTCCGTTGCTTGCCACATACTTGGAATCTCAAGACACAACACCCATCTGCTTGACTAGAGAGTGTGATATTTCATAACCATCCAAAAGTAGATAATCACATATACATACTTGTGACCAGGATACTATTATCACATACTTTCTTAGTACCAAGGTATGACTCTCTCCACTTCACTTCATACTCTAGAAATCTCCATACACGAGCAATCATTAACATCACATTCCTATCTTAGCATCAAAGAAACCACAATGATCCCATTAGCATGTTAATAAATTTTTAACCATGTTAGCCTTATTCCATTCCTGCAAAGAAATGACGTTAAGGCCTCCTTTGTTTCTTGGAGTACAAACTTTCTTCCATGTTATTGGAGATTTACGGGTAATGACCTCAATACTAACCCGTAAAAATGATCTACAAGTTGCTTTTACTCTTTTGATGATTTACTTAGGCATAAACAAGCATTGCAACCAAAAATTACTAATGAAAAACAACATACTTTGAATCAACTGATTTCTCTCTACAAAACTCAATAATCTTGAACTCATATCCTTAATTATACTAACAATTTTATCTACCAACCCAAAAATAATTGTTAATAGTAAACTTTTTACTGGTGTTAAATATATATTAGGCTCCTTAGTTTAAGAAATTAGTCTATTTAATTATTCGCAGAATATAATCATTCTCTCTCTACAAAACTCAATAATCTTGAACCCATATCCTTAATTATACTAACAATTTTATCTACCAACCCAAAAATAATTGTTAATAGTTAACTTTTTACTAGTGTTAAATATATATTAGGCTCCTTAGTTTAAGAAATTAGTCTATTTAATTATTCGCAGAATATAATCATTTTTAATTAAAATATATTATTTAAGTTGTTTATTTTCAATAAAATTATCTATAAACAACTGCAGATATTAATTTTTCGAGTTAAAGAAGAGCACAATGAGCATTAAAACTCTCGCTTCAAAAAATTTAATAATGTTACTTGCTCCTGACATAGTTTGAATCCATAAATCTCTAGATAAATTAGATCCTCTTCCATCTATTTATAATTTTGAAATATTTATAAAAAATGAAATTTTAAAAAATTGTATTGTTAGTCTTAATTATTTAACTTATTATATAAGTTAAATAAAATAAATGTTTATAAGATCCATTAAATTACAGTTGTAGAAATGGGACATTTAGTTGCCATAAAGAAGATAGATAGTGTATATAGAAATCAATCAACTAAATTTCAACGCTTCATTTCAATCTTATAGGGTAAGGTACCAAAAAAAAAAATGGAGGTGCAACAATGGTGGAAGCTTAGATTCTCTTTCAAGAGTGCAACAATTATTGTCTGCTTTCTTAACATAATCACCGCTATCTTCTTGCTTCATGACTTTTTCACTTCACCTTACACCCGCACTAAATTCTCCACTGCAAATTATAACCCAGGTTAGCCTTTTTCTCTCCCTCCTCTCAAATTTCCAGATTTTATATTCTGTTTGTTGAAATTGATTATGGTTTTTGTTTTTGGGGGGTTAGATTATGGGGTAAAGGGGTTTGAATTTGTTAGGTGTTTTGATTAGATATATTAGTGATTTTTTGTGTTTGGTGATTATTCTTAGACCTTGGGATTTTGAAATTGAGTTGGATTGGTTGTTTAATAATTGTATGATGTTAAAATCAGATGACTTTTTTTTTTTGGAAGAAAAATCAGATGAATTTTGATTGTAGAATTTTGTTGGATTGGTTCTTTTCATGTGCTGCAAGCAAATACACTTTGCTGGTAGGTACAATCTTCTCCAATCCTTTTCTTTCATTTATCTTCTTGAAGAGTGGGAAATGGAGGCAACATGTATTTCACTCATAGCATGCTTGGTTAAAGAGGATTTGCTATCACGTTGAGGAGCCAATTTTCTCAAAGCCTATATCTGTTATGTATAGGATATAGAGTTCATTTTCATCTCAAACATTAATTAAATTCATAGGCAGAAGAATGAAAACTTTCTTTTTTTTGAGCATTGGACTGTATTGGCAATTTATAATTGACACTGATTCTAAATTCTACTTATGAAATGCTTGGAATCAGAGCCATCTTAAATTTTTGGAGGCCTTGTGTACGTTAACCAAGATTTAACTGTGTCAAAACAAATAGAGACCCTATTTTGTCATAGTTTGACCGTGAAAAATATTTATGAAGCCCCTTTTAGCCACATTTTAACCTTATTACATTTTGGACCTTATGTGGTAGTCCACCTTGCTTGGAATAGACTAATATACTCTAAAGTATTTGTTAAACGTGCTTCTGATATGTTTTGATTTTAAATTGCAGCTCAACTCATTTACATTAAGGAATCTGAAGAAATCCGCCTTGCCATGCTACCGTTGGAGCTAATAAAAAGAGTGAGTTTCAAACTGTTTTATTGTTCACTATATTAATTATGAGCATGTTTGTTATACATGAATGCCAGCCATAGTGCCGGAAGCTTAACTTAGAAAGGGAATAATAAATTTTGTTGGAAGTAGTTCATACATTTTTCTGCAAATGATGATTAATTTGACAGATTTTGGAAGAGACCTTAAACTTTTTTGTGGGTTTCAGACTTTCAGTTCATTCTCTAGTTGAAAAACTTGGAAGTAATTATAAAAATTATTTACACACAAACCTGTAACCTTTGACAGTAACTTGAAGTTCACTGACATCATATATCTGAATTGTCTAAAACCTGTAACCTTTTCCTGGACATAGTCTTATTAGAGGAATAGAAAATGTAGATTTTTATTCTGAAGCTTTTGGCCATGTGGATCAAACATTGTTGAGAGTCCCACGCAGTATTAGTAGGGTTGAGTTAAGTCAAATCTAAACTATTAGCTGATATTAGATCCGTCGATTCTATTACTTGATCACTTGTGTCATGCTCCAAGTTTCATGTGAAAGTCCTTGTTTCTGTTCTTTCTGAGGGGCTAAGTTGGGGTTAAGGCTTCTATATACACCAGTGGTTCAAGTCGACTTTCAAAAATATATTTCTTTGATTTGGAATGCATTTTTTCTAGAAGGGGAGCCTTGACAAAATGGTTGGAGTTTTGCCCGTGTTATGGGATGTTACAGGCGAAAGCTGTGGGATTAGCCTCTTGCAAATGCAAGTGATTGGAATTATAGTTAGTTTTATTAGAACTTAGAAGGCGCGTAATTCTAGTATTTTGGAATGCATTTTTTGTGTAAATCTGATTGTGTTCTCCTTTAGGTGAAAGAAATTGAGCAGGAAGGATACACTGCACCAGAAACAGCCCAGAAGAAAGACACAAAGCAAACAGCTGCAGTTGATCTGTCTAAACGGTTAAAGGATTTCCGTTCCGTGAATGATGCTTCCAGCTTCAAAGGTATTCCTCTTTTCACCCTAAAAACCTTTATTAATCATAACTATCTTTTATGTGTGCATGCTCATCACTGCCCTATGAGGAGTGGTATGATTATGAACACTCTTTTCAACTGTTATTCTAATATTCAGCGAAACATTAAAAAGTTGCTAGGATTAAGCTGATCTGACATGGATCTATTGTAGTCTAAAGCTGATATAGAAACATGACTTTATTGTTTAACTATATTCCGTTTGTTCTATTGGTTTCAATTATGCTATGATGCTTGCGGTTGTCAGCTTTGGAGGAATGGCGTAAAAGAAAGATGGAGAGGGCGAAACAAAGAGAATTGGAGAAAAATGGAACAGGCTCCTCTCAAGCTTGAAGATAAATGTGTAATGGGGAAATTAGTAAGTCATTAGTGTAACTGCATATCATTGTCATACCCCTTTGGAGCCTCTCCTGCATAAAACAAAGGGAGGGAGGAAGAGAGAAAAGAGAACAAATAGCACATGTGACTCACATAATTTTATGTTTCTATAACTACATAAAAGGAAACAACTTACCATATCTTGTTTGATTATTATCAGCTAAACAGTGTTAAAATATGCATCGGACATAGTTTAATTACAACGTTTAGCTGCCTCATATCTTTGCCTCCCCTGCCTCTGTTTGGATTGATTGACTGGGGTGGAGCGGTATAAAATATGATGAAGTGGTTTGGAATGGAGGGGGTGGAACGACCATGTGGAGATATTTTCTATACAAGTAAGTCGATTTCTTTCTCGAAACCGGGAAAACTCCCACGACCGGTCCCTTTCTCGAAATCGAGAAAAATCGGGGGTCGAGCAAGGAGAATTTTTACACTCTGTAGGGATTTTCTGTTTTGAGCAATATACCTTTGTGGGAGACACATCACTTGTTTACATAAAACCTTAAAGTGATAGGTGAATGAGTTTTCACTTATAAATGCTCAAGTCACCACATTCTTATCTAATATGAGACTACTTTTTCATATTATTCACACTTATATTATCCTCAATCCACGTTATCCATTACATGCTAAATTGAGTGAAATAAAAAATTGAAGGATATAATACAATGGATGGAAATCCAAACTATAAAATCGGATTAAATACCATTCCATTTCATCAAATTCCACCGATTCTAAGATATCGTAAATCCACCAATTCAAATGTAGTATATCCTAAATGTCAACAATATCAAGTAGAAACCAAATATTGAAATAGTTTGCATTGGTAATAATATTTACGTGAGCCGATTCATGGTGTTACTCCTTAGACTGTATGATTGCTGAATATTAAAATTAAAAGTGATGAATGTTTACAATTGAGTCATATGTGGTACTCGGTTCAAAACTTGGCAACCAGATGAGGAGGAATGTATTGAGAAAATATGATATAACTTTTTTTTTTGTTAAATTTAAATGTTAATATAATAATATTAACAATATATTGTAAATTTTCTTTTTAAAAAAGTTAATTAAATAGTATTAATGCAAGATCTATACACGATGCAAACTTCTTAACTTTATTGATTATTACTTTTGATTTTAAATATAGAATCTCCCGCCAAATTGCATGAATTAATAAAGTTGCAGTGGTATTAAATTTAGAGAAAAAAGAATATGCATATATAGTGTAAAATATGTTTATAATGTCAACTAACGAGGAATGTGTATTTAGTCAAATCACGTTTTTATTAAGGGTTAAATAAGTTTTTGATCTTTCTAAATATCTCAAATTTCATTTTTAGACTCTCAATTATTTTCCTTCAAGAATTGATCTCTTCAAAAAATTTCGTCTGAATAATTGGTCCCCAATGTCAAGTTTCACTAACGGCTTTCTATGTGGCAAGACAGGTGGATTAAATAATTTTTTTCTTTTCTGATTTGGAATTCATTACATAAGTAAGTGACATATCTCATGTTTCAAATCAAATTTCTTCGACAATGTTCCCTCTCTCCAACAGTGGTATCTCTTTATGGTTCCAACATTGACGAATCTTGAGTTGGTTGTTGCAGTCCTAACAACGATTAGGTAAGTCCCACTTGTTATAGTTTATTCATTTCGAGTATTGATTGCATGTCTCATGTGCTGGTCTTAAATTCTAGGGTTTTTGGTTTTAATATGTTGGTAATGTCTGAGTTACCCTTGTTTTTTCTTGAAATGTGTAGACAATGGAGTAGTTAAGGTTGCCTTTTATACCAAAGGGTCATTTGTAAATGATGAAGGGTTAAAATATGAAGGGGATGTTTACACTGTATGTGGGCAAGACCCTGATTTCTGGTCATACTTTGAAGCATGTGACTTAATTAAGGGTATTGATTCATCATTTAAAACTGAAGATGTAAAAATGTGGTGGAAGTCTGAACATGGTTCACTTAAAAATGATCTAAAACCCCTTGTTAATGATGAGGATGCAACAATGTTAACTATGTGTGCTGAGGAGACTAAGTGTGATGTTGAGATATATACAAAGAAAAGATTATCTAGTGGTGAGAAGACTTATATGGAGAGGTTAAAAGAGAAAGAAAAAGGCTATGTTAATGTTGAGGAAAATGAAGATGGTGAGGATAGTGAATCATCCGAAGACTCTTTGAATGATATATACTTTAAAGATAGTGAAGAAGAGATGATGTACGATTTTGATGAAGACATGGGTGAAGGTGCTGGTATAGGTGGAGTGGATAATGGTGATGGTACAAGTCAAATGGATAATGGTCAAGGGATACATAAAGAGTTGAATACAGCTGATATGCAAAGGGAACATGTAATTGAGGATGATTACATCACAAATGAGCTTGATAGTGGGGCAGATGATGATAGTGATGATGGTAGGCCTTCAGTGATAAGGTTTAATGAACATGAAAACCTTATAAAAGAATTTAAATTCAAGGTGGGAATGAAAATTTCTTCTCTGAAGCAATTTAAAAAGCCTGTACTGGAACACAATGTGTTGAATGGTAGGGAGGTTAGATTTGCCAAAAATGATGGGACAAGGTGTAGGGTTGTTTGTAAGGACAAACAACAATGTGATTACACAATTTTATGCAGCGGGGTTTTGAGAACAACATCATTCAGGATCAAAACTCTATTTCATAAGCACAAATATGGAGGAAAGTTCTTCAACAAGAATGCTAATGCTGATTGGGTATCTAGAGTGATTGTTGACAAGTTGAAGAACAATTCAGGTATGAAATTGAATGAAGTTGTAGCAAATGTAAGATTGAGGTTTGCTACAGAAATTATTGGATGTAGGCTTTCAAAGCAAGGCAGCTAGCTAGAAAGGTTGTTGAAGGGGACTCAACCAAGCGATACAATATGCTATGGTCATATGGAGCTGAATTGAGGAGGGCATCTAAAGAAAACACATTTAAGTTGAACATTTCTGGTTTGCCACCTAGGTTTGAAATGTGCTACATGTGCTTTGATGGTACAAAGGAAGCATTGAAGATTGGGTGTAGACCATTCATAAGGTTAGATGGATGTCACCTAAAAAATAAATATGGTGAAATCTTGTTGATAGCTGTTAGTAGGGATGCTAATGACCCGTATCTTCCACTTGCTTTTTGGGTTGTGGATAATGAAACTAGAAACTCTTGGAGTTGGTTTGTTAAGTTACTTCTTGAAGACATTGGTTCTGATAGTAGGTGGTGCTTCATGTCTGATCAACAAAAGGTATGCTTAAAGTTACTTGTTACTTTAGTGTTTAATGTTACTTATTGATGTCATTTTCATGTATATGTAAAGACTGGTGAATGTATTTGAGGAAGAATATCCTAAGTTTGAACACAAGTTTTTCTTAAGGCATTTATATGCTAACTTCAAGAACAAGTTTGGAGGTGGTACACTATACAAAGATCTCATAATGGTTGCAACAAAGGCAACCTATTTTGAAGCTCGCGAGGATAAGATGAATCAAATTAAGGAGGTAAGTCCATATGCTTTTGGATGGCTAAATGCTATTCCCAAGAATAAGTTGTGTAAACATGTCTTTCCCTTGTACTCTAAGTGTGATATTTTTATGAACAACCTAAGTGAATCATTCAATGCTACTATTTTGATGCAAAAGGATAAACCTATAATTACCATGTTTAAGTGGATTAGGAACTATCTTATGGCTAGGTTTGTCACTCTTATGGAGAAGGTTGAAAGTTACAAAGGAGAGATCATGTCTAAACCACTTAGAAGGTTAGATAGGGAGATAGAAAAAAAAATGCTAATTAGCTGCCCACATATGGAGGTAGATTAACATTTCAAGTAAGTCATGTAATGTTCACAGAAAGTTATGTTGTAGACTTGACAAAACATACTTGTTCTTATAACTTTTGGGACTTGGTTAGCAACTACTATTGATAACAAAATACACATTTATCATAAATTACACAACAAGACAAAACATCTTCAATCTTCCATGAAATTTCTCAGTTTTTGATTTGGTCTTCAAGTTCTTGTTCTTCTTCCTTGAATCTTCATACAAGGACTTCATATATCCCACAAATGTCATGGCTTCCAACTCTGAGTTCCTAATGTAACGTCTTCATTTTCATATTTTACGCAAAGATCTTCATCCCATATGAACAGATTACACGTATCAGAACTCTGTCAATAAGAACATCTCCAAAACAACCTACCCTTATTTGGTCCATTCTTCCAATAATACGATACCATCCGAACATGACATGTACAATACTTCCTAACTCGCGATTTCACTGAAGCATAAGACATTATGTTATGGAACTGAAGGAGGACGAAGATGAAAGAAGAAAGAAGATGAACCACTGAACCAACTCTTGTGTTGCGGATTTTCACGAAGAAGAATGTTAACGAAGAGGAAAAGAAAGGAATTAGGTCAAAAATAACATGTGACTCATCTTTAATAAGGGGTCAGTGTACACGTTGTATTTCATGGAAATATATAAAACAAATTATTTAATCCACCCGTCTGGCCACATAGAAAGCCATTAGTGAAACTTAACGTTGGAGACTAATTATTCAGACGAAATTTTTTAAAGGGACTAATTTTTGAAGGAAAATATTTGAAGGACTAAAAACGAAATTTGAGATATTTAGAGGGACCAAAAACTTATTTAATCCTTTTTAAAATACTAATATGTCATAGTTGAATGATAAAATTTTATTGAATGATAGTGTAAAACTACTTTGTACTATAATATATTACTTTTAATATCTTAAATTTATAACAAAAATAATTTTATTTTAACAAATTTATCTTTTGAAAGAGTTATTTTATGTTTTATGATAATATTTATTTCCGAATTAAAAAATAATTTAAAATAAATAAAAGTATTTTGATAAATAATTAGTTAATGCAGATGAAAATTTAAAGGTCTTATAAATAAATAAATAAATTTCTTAAGAGGTCATCTATTTAAGAAAATGTAATATTATTTTATATATAAAATTAACCTTATTTGTTTATATTATGTTATAGTAAAATATAATAATTAAAAGTAATACACATAATATTGATATGGTAGAAAAAATGAGAGAAATAATATTAAAAGTTAATAAAAAATAAATATAAAGTAATATTATTTTGTTTGCCAAAAATCCCATTCCATCAATTTGATATATAGTGGTTTTATTGTAAAGTATAGTTTAATCTCTCTTAGAATACATGTCCGGTTCATATTTTTTATATTTTAAAAATATGATTGGATGAAACATTTTAATGAAAGAATATAATTTTTGGAGGGAATTTAAAATAATTTATATAAAATTCATGTTTTTTTAAATAAAAATAAAAATATTTGTTAAAATAATTGAAATCTATGATGTATTTTGTTAAAGTTAAACTTAATAATTTTGAATATTAAATTGGTTAATATTATTATTTTAAATTTTATAAATTAGCCCTCATATTTTCCAAGATTTTAAAATTGATCCTTAAAATTTCTAAAAAATTATAAATTGGTTCATAATAATTTTCAAATTTGTCCCTTTAAAATTTTAAAATTGCAAATTAATCCCTGTTTTTAAAATTTATAATTTGGCCCTAAAACTTTAAAATTTATAAAAATAACTCTAAAAATTTAACAATAATTTTTTTTATATTCTATCCAAACAAAAAAATTAAAAATGAATGAATTTCAATTAAGTTATTTAAATTATTTTAAATTTTAAATTCTTCAAAAAATTTCAATTAACTCATCGAATCAGAGGTCTAACATTTTGAAGAAACACCATGGCAAAATGAAAAGGAAACAAATAATCTAAATAAAAAGAAAAATTAGCCATAGAGGACGGTACTCTATAAGTTAGGGATGATAAAAAGATATCAACCTATCGTGGCATCAGAATTAGTCTTAAAGGAGAGGGAGGGGTGTGATTAGGAGTGAAAATAGGTTAGGTTAGGTTAGGTTTTATAAAGTCTGATTCTGATCTATGATAAACTTATATGATTTGAGTCTGATTTATGATCTATTATGGACATATTTTTTTGGTTTGGCTTGACATTTTTAAAATTTTGACTTGGTCTGAAAGTCTATTTAAAAATTTATTTCTTATTAAGATTTTCAATAAATTCATATTATTCTTTCCGTTTTTTTTAACTGTCGCTTTTGAGTAAAATTTTTGTTTATTTTTAATTGTCATTTTCAAAGTTTAATTTTTATTTTATCAAATTTGCTCCTAATTATTCATTGAAGAGATAAAAAGTTAAATGAGTTACTAATAAATAATTAAAGGTATTATACATAAAAAAGAAAATTATTACTTAAAAAGAAGTGAAAATTATTAATATTATTGGTATGTGCAAAAAATTAAAATAAAATAAAAAAGACAATTAAAAAGGAACAAATAGAACATTTAAGAAGTCTTTATATATATATATATATATATATATATATATATATATATATATATATATATATATATATATATATATATATATATATATATATATATATATATATATATATATTGGACTGACCAGACAGCCTATATAGGCTCAGTCTAGAGTCCTTCTTCGATAAAGCACACACGACACTGCCCGAATCTCCCGTGCCCTCCGTCGAGCATCGTCGATCATCCGCCCTCTTAGATCAGCACTGGCCTTTGATGTTCGATGAGAGCCTCCCAGTCTTCCCGACCAGAAACCCGACCAGACAATCAAGAATCGACCAGACCACTGCCCGTAACCTACCTCCTCGTCGAGACCAACAACTAGTTACGGGCATACCTGCTCGGTATGACCAAGTCCTGGCAGTTACCTATTTTCACGCGTCCGCATATCTAGGCCCAAAAATAAGAACCAATGGCCACGCACCAGGGGAATTATATAAACCCTCACACATGTGACAGTCAGGTATCGAATATTCACGATTCACCACTAAAACCCTAATACTTTGCTTGTATCTTTTTGCTCTCACACTTACTTGATCGTCGGAGTGCCTTGCAGGTACAACCCCGTTTTTTTCCTCCTCGACATTACAGTCTGTCTGAAGATCATCATCCATCCACCTTGCAGGTTCTGATCAACCGGTAAGATCAGTGGTGCTGTCTGTGGGAACAATCTCCCCTGTTTTCTATTCCTCGAAGTCTGGAAACCAAAGATTCTCTTCATTCAACAATCATGGCTGACCGTGATGATCTTCACCCATCTGGAAAGGTTGTACTTTCCCCGGCGCACAAGACTGATTGAGGCCAAGAACATCTTCACCTCGAGGATAACCTCGATTTCCACGACGGTCACACTGCGTCCCCAGATTCCGTCAATGCTCAGCGCGACGACCAATAATTCTCGGATGAGCAATTTCCTAAGATCCCCATCGAGGAACTTCCGGAGATCTTGTAGCCAGTTCCCATCCCTCACAACACCGATCCAGCCATCGCAACATTGTTCACTGCCACCAACCAGACCAACACCCTTATCCTACAACAGAACAAAAAAATAGGGGTCTGGGAAAAGAAGCAATCAAGGACTCCTCCTCGAAGAGCCCGACGACGAGATTCCCCCAGCATATCCCTACCTAGGTGTGGCCTTCCACCAAGAAAGGAGAAGCACGACATTTCTTTCTTCAAGAAACGCAATTGCACACCTCTCACGAAAGGTCAAAACTCTCCTTCATCCAAGAAGAAGAAAGGCGACCGCCAAATTGACCGCGGTCGATCACCATTGCCCAAGCCAAGACAACAAAGGAGGAGTCATTCCCCCTAACGAGACCATGATGCCCGACAGGGAAGGAATTATCACTCCTCTTCTCCGTCTCCTGTAGAAAGTGACGATGACGAGCCCCGCGGGCTACTATCAAGAGAGAAT